TTTGTGCCCTATCGGCATACGCTTTTTTTTTTTTTTTTTAAGTTCTGCTATAGGGTGCGGGCGCTGGCCAGAGGAGAGAGAGATGGCCAGCTGGAATGGCCACGCTGCAATCCCTTCACCTCCATTCACTGCGGGAGATTTTGGGCATGCGCACACGCATGCACACGCGCATCCTGGTTGGAGCGGGCATGTTTTTCAAGCCTCTGGTCCGGGACTCTTAACGGTGCACTGGGCCTCATGGGATCTGGCCACCTTACCAGCTGGCTCGATTTCTGTACACTCTTTGGCTGACGCTATTATGAAGCACCTTATCCATCCCATCCTAACCCCCCCGTCACCTGATTGTTGTGGTGGGTCTTCTTTAACTTCTGTCAGGCTTCTTGGTGGTGGTGGTTCTGTGCAGTCACCGACAGTGCCCGATAACTCACTGTCTCTCAGTACTACGTACTCTTCTTCAGAGGAGTGGTTCTCAAATTGATGAAAACCATCCTCTCGAGGCGACCTGTCCATTTGCCGTCCTAGATGGACCACAGATCCCTCTTTTTCATCTTCTTCGTCGGAATCGCACTTGTCCATGTCAGCAATCACTGGAAAATGGTGAAATGAAAAACTGGCTTTTCGGTCCAGTCTCCTTCCCGCTTCTGGTGTGTGAAGCAGTGCGCAAGCGCGATGGCGCGAAGAGTTGCCCGCCACAGAGGCTCCTCCCCCAAATCACCGGAAGCAGCTTGCCCTCCGCCTCCTAGAGTTTCTGGGTAGAATCTGCTTCTAGCCTACAGAGTGCTGGGGGCAGTTGCCTAGGCATCCATTGTGTGTCCCATTGTTACCAAATGTGCCACATTAAGGTTAGGCGGCATTGTACTCAAAGCCAGAAGTACTGGCAGGGCTTATGGTGTACCAAAGCACTCTCCTTCACCCGCCCGAGTTTATTCCCAAGCTTGCAGATGTTTCTAGGTTGGTTGTACGCTACCTAGTCCTGCTCCCTTCTTACAGGGACTGCCTTCCTCAAAATGTCATGCCGAAGGCATCCTAGTTAAATGCAGAAATTCTCATTGCCAGGTTCCCAGGGACTCCTGTCTTTTTTCCCCAGGAGATGTTCACTTGATGTGCACTTAGCTCTCCATTCTTCTTCTTTTTTTTCTTTAGAGGTTAGCGCGTGCACTCGCCAGACAGACAGAGACAGAGACAAACCAAGCAGCCCCCCCCCCCCCCGGGGGGGATGGCCATGCCGCAATTCCTTCTCCTCCATTCTCCTCTCGGGATCTTGGGCAAGCCCGGCGTGAGTTTTAAGCCACCGGGTCCGGGACGCGAACCACGTTCGACTACGTGGGAGTCCAGCGACATATCCATTACGCTAACTGCTGGTGCCTAGCTCTCCATTCTTGCTTATTCATCAGAGCTACAGCTGTCTCTTCAGTTGGGTCCTCCCTTAATTCCTTGTGGTTTCACCCTGCGTTATACTTGCTCTCCACATATTCAATGCAGTTCGAGTCCCGACCCAGTGGCTTAAAACACACTGGCCGTCTATGTGTGTGTGTGTGTGTGTGTGTGTGTGTGAGAGAGAGAGAGAGAGAGAGAGAGATCCTAGGACGAGAATGGAGGAGAAGGAATTGCATCATGGCCATCTCCCCTGGGGGGGGTGATTTCTCACTTTCTGTCTCTCTGTCTCACTCTTTCTGGTGTGGGGCACAGTGCCATATACTAAAAATCTCTCTCTTAAAAAAAAAAAAAAAAGACATGGGACCAACAGTTAGCATAATGTATATGTTGCTAGACTCCCATGTAGTTGACTGCAGTTTGAATCCCAGACCCGGTGGCTTAAAACTCACGCCTGGCACGTGTGCGTGCGTGCCCAAGATCTCGAGAGGAGAATGGAGGAGAAGGGATTGCGGCGTGACCATCCCCCCTGGGGGGTGATTTCTTGCTTTCTGTCTCTCTGTCTCACTCTTTCTGGTGTGGGGCACAGTGCCATATACTAAAAATCTCTCTCTTAAAAAAAAAAAAAAAAAAGACTTCAGCAGGTTCACTGTAAGCCCAGAGAAATCCATAAAAATTTGTACATAAAGTGTCCAGTTTCATTTTCGCTTTCCTTTCTAATGAAGCTAAATACTGAAATGCAACTAACCAGAATGTCGGAGGCATTTTAAAATCGGTCCATAATAGTGATTTCGCTACAGTAATGACGGCTGACTAGGCTAATGTTCTGCGTGCAGGAGTACAGCCAGGATGGCTTGGTGGAAACAGTGCTCATAGTGCTCATTTACAATGCTATCTAACTAGAACTCTAAGTATTAGAGTTCTTGTATATCTAACTCTTGGTATTACCAGGCCCATTTAAGACTTGCTTTGGACTCCTGCATTTAAGTTGTTCCTATAAAGCTAAAATTTGGCTATTGAATTTGAAACATTCAACACAATCTGGCGATTTAATAAAGTAATCCATCCAACAGTAACTGAGGTGGTTACCATTCCTAGCTGCTAGAGATAAGGTAAGATGTTGTAACAGTCTGTACTCCCAAGTAATTCACATTCCAGGTCAGGCAACTATCACATAAGATTATCAAAATACATATATTATATGCTATAACAGATTTATATATGTAGTATTGTGTAATTTCATACAAATGAGTGACATTGATTATTTAGTGGGACTAGGAAATGTTTCACAGAGGTATAACATTTAGAAAAGGAATAATTAAATATAATTCGGAGTGTTTGTAGGTGGAAAGTTACAGTTTGTCTTGTGTTGTTGAAGAGAAACTGCCAGATAGAAGGAAAAAAAAAACTTTAGGGACTTTGGCTTGATTGGGAAATGATAGTCACAACTTTGCAGCTGAAATGGAAATGTGAAATTAATCCAAACTAAAATCATTGACACAAACTATAAATTGTGTTTTGATTTTTTTCCTGCAAGAAATAAGAGAAATTGGGGCCAGCAGGTAATGTGATGGGTAAGGTACTGGACTCCCATATGGCTGATCAGGGTTAAGTCCTGGACCTGGCACCTTAAATATCACACTGGGTGCCTGTGCATGTGTGCCCCCAAAGTCCCAGAAGGAGAATGGAGGAGAAAGGATTGCAGCGTGACCTTCCTCGTTGGGGGTGATTTTCTCACTTTCCCACTCACTGTCTCTCTCTGTCTCTCTCTAGTGAGCACATATGCTCTATGGGACAAATAAAAAAGAAAGAACAAGAAATTAAAGCATTTAAAAATGTGTTGAGGGGATGGTGCCAGCAGGTGGCACAGTGATTAAGGCACTGGACTCCCACGTGGTCGACAGCAGTTTGAATCCTGAACCTGGAGGTTGGAAAGTCATACCAGGCATGGGGCCAACAGGTGGCATGATGGTTAAGGGCACTGGACTCCCATATGGCCAACCATGGTTCAAGTCCCGAACCTGGTGGCTTGCCATATCTCTCTCTCTCACTCTGTCCCTCTCTGGTCAAATTAAAATAAATAGATAAACTTAAATAAAATAATTTTTTTAAAAGAAAGAAAGTAATACCAGGTACATGTGCATATATGCCCACAGTTCCAGAAGGAGAATGGAGGATAAGGGATTGCAACATGGCCATCCTCTCCGGGGTGGGGAAGCGGGGGGGAGTGATTTCTCACTTTCCCTCTTACTGTCTCTCTCTGTCTTTCTACTATGGGCACACATGCCCTATGGCAAAAAAACTTTTAAAAAATTTTTTGAGGGGTCATTCCATGGTCTGATGATTAAGGAGTCTAGATCCCACAGAGTCTACTACACTATTCGAGTCTTGAACTCAGGGGCTTGAGAAACATGCTGGGCACATGTGAATGTGTCCCAAAGATCCCAAAAGGAGGGAGACATGGAGAAGGGATTATAGTGTGACCCATGGTGGTGCTTTCTTGATTTCCCTGTTTCTGTCTCTCTCCAGTGAGTGCATGTGCCTTCTGGCAAATTAAAAAGAAAACAATTCTTTTGAGTATAGTCTGTGAATTTTGTCGTGTTTACCTACTTACTATCCACCTGACATTCTTCCAATAGCACCCTGAATTTCCAGGGGTGAGGAACCTTATCTACCAATCTTAGTCCAGTGGATTCAGGTGTAGCTGAATTTCACTGTTGGCTGATGCAATAGACAAGTAACTTAACCATGTTCAAACAGCTATTTATAATTGTTGGTAGTGGTAACTAGCTTAAATATGAGCATGTGACCAGAAGTGGTGCAATTAAACATTAAATCTAAGGTCAACCCATAGTGGCACAGACAGTAGGAGCACTGCTGTGTGACGCTGGAAGTCATATGGTAACATCGTGGGTTCATGTTTTGGGTCTCTCCGACCTTGTCAGAGGTATCCTTCGCCTCCGTGGACTACCTATGATCCTGGCCACCTGCAGGGCTGGGGAGAGTATGATGGTATGAAGACTCATCAAAGGTCCCTCTCAATTCTATTTAGAAAATAAATAAACTTTAAGGCTGTATTGGGGATGTTAGTTGGAACTACTAAATGAAAAAAATGATAAATTATTTTCTAGGCCAGCCTGGTGGCCTAGAAGATAATTTAAGATCCAACATGGCTGGCTGTGGTTTGATTCCCAGCCGTAGCAGCTTGAAAAACACTCCATAGGGACCAGTCAATGGCATAACGTTATGTCACTGGAATCTCACGTAGCTGGCTGTGGTTTGAGTCCTGGACTTGGCAGCTTAAAACTCATGCCAGGGACTGGCAGTTAGCATAATGGCTATGTCACTGGACTCCCATGTAGTCAACCGGGGTTTGAGTCCAGGTCCTGGTGGCTTAAATTCACGCCGGGCACGTGTGCATGTGTGTCCAAGATCCCGAGAGGAGAATGGAGGAGAAGGGATTGTGGCATGGCCATTCCCCCTGGGGGGTAATTTCTCGCTTTCTGTCTCTATTTCTCTCTGTCTTTCTGGCGAGCGCACATGCACTATAGCAAAAACCTCTCCAAAACAAACAAAAAACAATCATGCCAGCTTAAAACTCACACCAAGAACCCAGGGAGAATAATAAAGGAGAAGGTATTACAGCATGGCCATCCCCCCGGTGGGGTCATTTCTCGCTTTTTGTCTCTTTGTCTGTCTCTCTGGCAAGTACATGTGCCTATAGAAAAAAATTTCTCTTTGAAAAAAAAGAAAAGACTCCAGATATATGTGCCTGCACGCATACCCAAAATCCTGGCAGGATGGGGAAACGAAGAAGGGACTGAAGTGCAACCACACCCTATTGAGGGGTGCTTTCTCCCTCTTCCTCTCTCTGTCTCTCTTTCTCTGGTGAGCACATGCACACTCTGGCAATTAAAAAAAGAGAGAGGGACCAGCAAATGGTGTAATGGTTACATCGCTGGACTCTCACATAGTTGACTGCAGTTCGACTCCCAGACCCGGTGACTTAAAACTCAGGCCAGGCAAAAATAAAAAAAATAAAAAACCTCACACCAGGCGCGTGTGCATGCATGTCCAAAATCCCGTGAGGAGAATGAAGGAGAAGAGATTGCAACATTGCTGCCCCCCTGAGTGATTTTTTTTTTTTTTGCTTTCTGTCTCTCTGTCTCTCCGCCGAGTGCATGCGCCCTATAGCAAAAATCTCTAAAAAAAAAGAGAGAGAGAAAACTTATCTTCCACTGTGGTTGCTAAACCAGAAGGATGTTTATGGCTATCTTTTTTTTACCTAATAATGAGGACAACCAACATAGAGAGTCAGAAAAAAACAAATACAGAGAAAGAAACAGATAAGAGAACAAATTGAGACATACCTAAAGCTAGGTGTGCCTTAGATTTTTGGGGTTTAATGTACTCTATTTTAAAATGTTGACTTGTGAACAATTTCTGTTACTTCCAAGTAAAATCTCCAATAGTTACAGTGGAGGGATGATGTGATCAATTCAGACGCCGGAAAGTAATTCTCAATAAATTTGTCATGTAAAACGTATTTGTTATTGTGCACTCTACAAAGTTAACATTTAAATATAATTTAGATTTTAATTGGATTTAGTTCTTATGTGAAACTAAGAAAGCAATAATTTTTGGTAAATCATTTTTTTTAATTTATTAGGCACTCGAATTTACAATAGTTAAGTTAAAAGAAGTGAAAAAAAATTTTAATTTAATTATGAACTGTGGTCATGGCATATGGTGTTAATTTTGTTAAATTTTCTACTTCTACCATGAAGTACTTTCAAAACGTCCCTATTTTGTATTGGTTTCATATATTATGCAATATATTCTAAAATATATAATAAAATATATTTAGAATATTTTAGACAATATATTCTAAAACCTGGGCCCCATAATTTTCAGCTGAAGAAGGTCAAAATAAAATAAATGAATGAATAAATAAAATGAAATAATTATTAAAAAAAATAAAAGATATTCTGAAGTAAAGTACCACAGAACACTTGGTTTACATTAAGTGAGAAATTGATCCTGATGGGACCTAAAGTGTCTTTCAGTGATACTTTGATAAAGAGTGAGATAATGTTATTTGACCAATTAGCTCCCTGGTGGGATTTTTAAGATGTCTAAGATTAGCAAAATCTTAATTGGCATGAGGAGGTAGGCACATGACTGTGTTTAAGATGTTTGAACAGATATTTGGTTAAACTAATAATCAATTACTTCTGGCTACTAGTAATAGTAAATTTATTTCCCTTAAGTTTAAAAACTTCCTTTGCAATGAGAATATACTTCGTCTGTGAAATTTAAAGCCCTATAAATTAGTTATTTTTTATTTTTCAATTTTTCTTTTAATATTTGTCTTCAGGGATCACAAATGATATTCTCAAATGTTATTTATGCTTTCATTTGTGAGAGGGTTTGTGAAGTCTCTTTCTAGAGAGAGAGAGAGAGAGGGAGAGAGAACATCCCCTACTCCACAGTGGGGCATGGTCACACTGAGGTCTGTTCCTCTATTTCTCTAACCTGTCATGATTTTGGGCATTACATGCACATACATATACCCAGTGTGTTTTTCAAGCTGCCAGGACTAGGATTCAAAGTGTGCAATCAACACTGTGGGATCTGGCTCCCTTAACCACCAGGCCATGGAGCTGACCCTAGTATCATTTCAATTCAATATTTTGAAAGACAATATACTAAGATAATCCAATATACAGGAAAGAGATTTGCGCTGAAAGTTGAGAGACTCCTATTGAAGTCTACCAGAAATCATCCAATCATTTAACCTCTCGAGACTCCAGTTTCGTGATTATGAGAAGGTTGAATGTATTTTCAAAGTTTTATTTTTGTTAGTTGCTCAGACAAAGGGAGTTGGATAGTGGGAATTAAAAATGATTCCTTAACCAGGGTGCTGAACTGGCAATCATGAAATAAAGTGGAAAGGTTGAGTGGGGCTAGAGTTAGTGCCAGCAAATGCTGAGGTAAAAAGAAAAGCAAAGAGGCCTAGCCTTTGTAGCACAGTCCATAGCATACTGAACTGCAGAGCTGGAAGCTACATGGCCACATGCTGACCATAGTTAAGAGTTCCCAGCCCTGGGGACCAGCAGTTAGTGTAATGGGTATGTCACTGGACTCCCATGTAACTGACTGCGGTTCACGTCCCGGACCTGGTGGCTTAAACTCACGCAGGGTGCATGTGCATGCATGCCCAAGATCCCGAGAGGAGAATGGAGGAGAAGGGATGTGGTGTGGCCATCCCCCCTGGGGTGTTATTTCTCCCTTTCTGTCCCTCTGTCTTTCTCTGTCTGGGGAGCACACACGCCCTATAGTAAAAATCTCTCCCCCCCAAAAATAAAGTTCCCAGCCCTGTTGGGTTGAAAGTATGCCAGGCACCTGTGCACACGTGCAGGATCCTGGCAGGCTGGAGTATCAGAAGGGTATCACAGGATGGCCGAGCCCTGGGGAGGCTGCCCCACTCCCAATTTTGCTCTATAATAGATTTTTGTTAAATTAGAAGAGAAGCAAGGTTAGGCCGGATTATGACTCAGAGGTAAAATGCAATGCACTGTGGGCAATCCTATGTGGGAAGTTATGGGTTCAAGTCCAGGAGTCTTCCCTGAATGGCCCTGGGCATGCTTGCCTATGATTCAGGGCTGACTGAAGGCTCAGGGTGGATCACAGTATTGAGACCTTGTGAGGTATGTGCACTGTCTCTCTGTCTCTCTCTCACACACATACACACACACACACAGAGAGAGAGAGAGAGAGAGAGAGAGAGAGAAGAAATAAACTTTTAAAAAATGAGAAAGAGAGAGAATAGATTCAGAGAAGACTCATACTTGGAAATCAAGCTAGGAACAAATGTCTCCAGAAATACTAATTCAAAGCAAATAATTTAAAATGGAGAATTGAGTCACAGAAGACAATTCAAGAAAATTCAAGTCTGGGACAGGGGAAGGTCATGAGAACCTTCGGGAACAAAGCTGTGAAGCTGCAGCAGATGTGTGAGACTTTGATTGTAGCTTGCTAAATTAAAATATTTACACCTTTGCTCTCTAAAGGTTGGTACTCTGTTGTCATGATAATTTGTTTATAAGACAACATTTGAGATGGATGACCTCAATATCTTTTTGTTTCACAATTTTATAAACTTTTCAATTTTTTAAAACACCAAGAAAAATGTTTTAATTAAATTTCAGAAAGTGGTTATAGTATAGAACCTACATGAGCAAAATAAAACATGCACGCATGTATGCACATGCACACACACACACACACACACAGCATGTTACCCATATAAAGTTTCACAATATTTGCTTTCTTAACTTTTTTAGAAAATGCTAGTTCATAAGTGAAGATAACCATATTTACCATTTGGAAGGTGAGAAGACCAGCAGATGGTGTAATGGGTACGTCGCTGGACTCCCACGTAGTCAACCGCGGTTCAAGTTCTGGACCTGCAGGCTTAAAATATATCAGGCACATGAGTGTGCATGCCCAAAATCCTAAGAGGAGACTACAGAAGATAGAATCGTGGCATGGCCGTCCCCCCTGAAGGGTGATTTCTCACTTTCTTGCTCTCTGGTGAGCACATGTGCCCTATAGCAAATATCTCTCCGTATAAAGAAAAAAAAAAATGAAAGGTCTGAGTGATTTAAAATGAAATTGTCATATTTTTTAATAAACCACATGGCTATTTGTTTCTGCACAGTATGTCACCTCTACATAGGAACAACCAGGAGAAACTATGAGATAGTCAAGCACTATGCACTACAAACACCACCTTAACAGGCAACCAGCATTATTCAACTGCTATGCAACTCTGCCTAGTGCAGAAAAATACACAAGAGATCAGAATTGTGTTTGCTAAATAATATTTTTAGAAAATAAATTATTTTCACTAGAAACGTTTTCATATGAATACTAGTACATCTTACCACTTACGCCTAAAGAGAAACAGCATATGTAAATACATTTACACTAACTTTTATAAGTTTTTAATTTTAAAGAATGGAGGCAACAATGAGTTAATCACTAAATAGTTTTGTACTGTCAACAGGATATGAGTCAACACATTTTCTTAAATTAAGAAGCTACAAAATTAAGTTAATGACCTGTTTACTTTCAAACAAAAAGTCAGAACTCTAAAGACAGTAAAATCTTATCACAAAAAGCAAATCAATAATAAAAACTGAAGTCTTTTACTTCAGTAATTTATATTCAAATAACAACAAAGTGCCTTATAAAGTTAAGTTAACCACCTGAGTCATCTCTTAAAAGAAACATGTTACGAAATAACTTTTTAATGCTAAGTCACTTGTTTTGAAGACTTTTTGAAGTCCCTGATCCCCCCCTAAACACACCCCCCACCCCCACCCTGGTTGATTAACCTAAGTGGGGATCATTCCTTCCTCTTCCAGGTACTTGAAGGCACTCTCAGATGACGAACTGGATTTGGACTCCTCCCTGTATCGTGGTGAAAGGCTTCTGGACGTGGAGCTGGGCTTGGTCAGCGAGCGAGATTTGGACCTCGAGGAGGACTTGAATTTGTATCTTCCGGTAGATCCCGATCTAGAGGTTGATGGAGATGTACCTTGAGAACGAGAGCGGCACTGCCATGGAGACTTTGAGGAGCTGAAGTGTGATCTGCTTCGGGATGGAGATCTGGATCTGGATTGACATCTGCTCCTGCTGGATCTGGATTGGGATTGAGATGAAGATGGAGATGAAGATGGAGATGGAGATGGTGGAGATGGAGATAGAGATGATGGAGATTGAGATGGAGATTGGAGATAGAGATCATGGAGATGGAGATAGAGATGATGGAGATGGAGATCGAAATCGAGATGGAGATCGGCTCCTGCAAAAAAAAGAATGGGCATAGAGACAGAGATGGAAACCGGATTCCAGATTGGTACCTGCTGGATCTGGATCGGGACTGAGAGCCAGATCTGGGCCGAGAGCGAGATCGGGATTGATACCGAAACCCAGATCGAGAGCGGCTCTTGTTACTGGAACGGCTGAAACAGCGTCGTCTTGGGCTGGGAGAGCGGCTCTTGTTACTGGAACAGCCGAAACGACGTCGTCTTGGAGTGCAAGAGCGGCTCTGGTTACTGGTACGGCTGAAACCACGTCGTCTTGGACTGCGAGAGCGGCTCTTACTGGAACCGCCGACAGGACGTCGTCTTGCGCTGCGAGAGCGGCTCTTACTGGAACCGCCGACAGGACGTCGTCTTGCGCTGCGAGAGCGGCTCTTACTGGAATGGCTGAGACGACGTCGTCGAGGACTGCGAGAGCGGCTCCTGTTACTGGTACGGCTGAAACGACGTCTTGGACTGCGGGAGCGGCTCTTGTTACTGTCACGGCTGAACCGACGTCGTCTTGGACTGCGAGAGCGGCTCTTGTTGCTCGCGCGGCTGAAACGTTGTCGTCTTGGACTGCGGCTGCGGCCGTAGTCGTCATCTTTCTCCCACTTGCCCTCTGGAGGCGGCGTTTTCCCGCAGCGGCGGCCATAGTGGAGATCTGGGGGACCATCATGATAAGCCATTTGCACTCTCAGCTTACGGCCATCCAGCACGACTCCGTCCACGGCATCTAAGGCATCCTCAGCGTGGTTCTTGCAGTAGAAGCGGACAAAGGCAAAGCCTCGAGACGCTTTCGTGAAGCGGTCTCGTGGGATGTACACATCACCAATTCGCCCGTACTTCTCAAAGACGCGCCGCAGTGTGTCCGGCGAAGTGCGGTAAGTCAGATTGTCCACTTTGAGGGAGATCATGCCCATCACATTGGGAGGAGGGCGAGAGGAACTCATGGCCTTTGACAGTAGCCTGAGACCTCCCCCGACACACACACACCAAAATGAACACGGAGAAAGTAGTCGACCTGGGAGAGCCGCTAGTTTCCCCGAGGCAGCCGCAAAGGTTACCTCAGATTGGTCCAGTTTGCTTAAGGCTCCACCCCTTTGTCAGTTGCTTCCGCTTATGCCTGTTCAGACTCTAGAATGTTCCAGGAAGCCCCGCCCATCTCCAGGGTAAGACCGCTTGAGAAAGTCATGACCGCATACCAGTTTTTTAAAAATTCGTGTTCATGATTATAATGTGTCGTTTTGTGATTTTTTTTTTCCAGTATAAATTCAAGCGTCCGGTTTTAGTTATGGATAAAGTATATACCTATAATTATGTGATTTGAAATTCTGTGCCATTACTGATTCATATCGACCAGAAATATTTGTCTGTCTGTCTTATTTACTCAGAAGCAGCAATACTAACCCGCGAGGAGAAATTAAGAGCCGCCTATTGGGTGTAACCATAATCAGAAACTCAGTATGGGTCCCTGGCTCTGCTGTAGGTTGCTTGAAAATACAAATGAGTCAAAGTCATCCTGATCTGAAATTCCAAATTATGTCATTGAATAGGACTCATTTTATTAGAATTTACTGCTTTGTCCTTAACTGACCCAATGTGCAGTCTCATAGAGTAAGTCCATTCACTATGGCTTTTGTTTAGAAAAAACATTTTTACCAGGACAGCAAAAATAAATAAATAAATAAATATAAATAAAAACCAAAAGAGGAGATGCACCTGTTAATTAGCTTGTTTGTGCTCATTATTTCACAACGTACACACACACACATAGACACACATCAGATAATGAAGTTATACATCTTAAATGTATACAATATGTATTGTCAATTATTCTTTAATAGAGCTGGAAAATATATGAACAATTTAGAGTTAATAAGTATATTCTATCAAATTGTTGACAAGATATTTTCTATGAATCATGTTTATTGCACTCTGAGAAGTGAGACTAACAATGATTGAGAGAAGTAGAAAATACTATTTTATTAAATACCTCTCACCTTCAATGATTATTAAATACTCTGCAAATCACAACATCACTTGTACATTTTGGATGTGTGTGTGTTGTGTATATACGATCTGTCTTTTGTTACTTATCAACCCACACAACTAATGAAACTTAGTGACTAAAATCAACAATTCATGATTATTTTATCTCATGATTTTTTTTTCAGTTTTGATAGTTGGTCACATGAAATCCAGCTCCCTTAACCACTAAGTCACAGCCAGCCCAAATAATAACGTTTTTTCTCCTATGAAAAAAAAAATACATCCAGCATACCAGTTTTTTAAAAATTCGTGTTCATGATTATAATGTGTCGTTTTGTGATTTTTTTTTTCCAGTATAAATTCAAGCGTCCGGTTTTAGTTATGGATAAAGTATATACCTATAATTATGTGATTTGAAATTCTGTGCCATTACTGATTCATATCGACCAGAAATATTTGTCTGTCTGTCTTATTTACTCAGAAGCAGCAATACTAACCCGCGAGGAGAAATTAAGAGCCGCCTATTGGGTGTAACCATAATCAGAAACTCAGTATGGGTCCCTGGCTCTGCTGTAGGTTGCTTGAAAATACAAATGAGTCAAAGTCATCCTGATCTGAAATTCCAAATTATGTCATTGAATAGGACTCATTTTATTAGAATTTACTGCTTTGTCCTTAACTGACCCAATGTGCAGTCTCATAGAGTAAGTCCATTCACTATGGCTTTTGTTTAGAAAAAACATTTTTACCAGGACAGCAAAAATAAATAAATAAATAAATATAAATAAAAACCAAAAGAGGAGATGCACCTGTTAATTAGCTTGTTTGTGCTCATTATTTCACAACGTACACACACACACATAGACACACATCAGATAATGAAGTTATACATCTTAAATGTATACAATATGTATTGTCAATTATTCTTTAATAGAGCTGGAAAATATATGAACAATTTAGAGTTAATAAGTATATTCTATCAAATTGTTGACAAGATATTTTCTATGAATCATGTTTATTGCACTCTGAGAAGTGAGACTAACAATGATTGAGAGAAGTAGAAAATACTATTTTATTAAATACCTCTCACCTTCAATGATTATTAAATACTCTGCAAATCACAACATCACTTGTACATTTTGGATGTGTGTGTGTTGTGTATATACGATCTGTCTTTTGTTACTTATCAACCCACACAACTAATGAAACTTAGTGACTAAAATCAACAATTCATGATTATTTTATCTCATGATTTTTTTTTCAGTTTTGATAGTTGGTCACATGAAATCCAGCTCCCTTAACCACTAAGTCACAGCCAGCCCAAATAATAACGTTTTTTCTCCTATGAAAAAAAAAATACATCCAGGAACCAGCAGTTAGTGTAATGGCTATGTTGCTGAACTCCCATGTAGCTAACTGCAGTTCGAGTCCCAGATCTGGGGCTTAAATTCATGCCGGGCATGTGTGCGTGCATGCCCAAGATCCCAAGAGAATGGAGGAAAAGGAATTGCGGCATGGCCAACCCCCCTGGGGGTGATTTCTCACTTTGTGTCTCTCTTCCATTCTCCGGATCTTTGCCATGCACACACATGCACCCGGCGTGAGTTTAAGCCTCCAGGTCTGGGACTCAAACCTCAGTTAGCTGCGTGAGAGTCCAGGGACATAGCTATTATGCCAATTGCTGATCCCAAGGTCTTTTTAAAAAGATGTTAGAGCTACATCCTTTACTTCATGTTTATCTTGAGACTGCATTTTACTCTCTAGGTTTTGTTGTTTTATTGTTTAACTTTGAACTTTATCTACCTGGAAAGATTATCCTGGGCATTCTGTGTTTTTATTATACTCTGTTCTAAAACTTTTAGTGTAGTTTAGTCTCCACATATATGTTGTCATAGGTACTTAGAGGAAGCTAGTTGAGGTGGGTTTTTGGGGTTTTGTTAGTTTATTTATTTACTTATTTATTTGGAGAGGTTTTTTGTTTGTTTGTTTGTTTGTTTGTTTGTTTGTTTTTGCTATAAGATGCGTGCACTCACGATGCGTGCACTCACCAGAAAGACAGAGAGAGACAGAGACAGAAAGCGAGAAATCACCCCCACCCCCAGGGGTGATGGCCACTCCACAATCCCTTCTCCTTCATTCTCCTCTTGGGATCTGGGGCACGCACGCACATGCACTTGGCATGAGTTTAAGCCACCAGGTCCAGGACTTGAACCACAGTCAACTACATGGGAGTCCAGCAACACAGCCATTATGCCAACTGCTGGTCCGTTTTTGTTAGATTTTTAAAATTTGTTTTGTTTTGTTTCCCTTTCTAGAGCTCTCTTCAGTGAGATCCATGAGTTTCTTAGATATACTTGCTGTTTTCCACAACACTGCAGGTAATAGTTTTGGGGATTGCTTTGCAATATACTAATATAACTTAGGTGTCCATTTTTACATGTATTCCTTTATTTTATTTCAGTTCTTTTCAATGTTAACAGAATTATTTCATGGCCTATTAAGGATCACATAATCTGCATTTTTTTTAACTAGTTCAAGCTACTTTATAATTTTCTCAATAAAAAAGATTAATTCTCAGTTACATGGATTCTCTTAAGAGAAACCATTCCAAATTAAGGTGAATTATTGGATATCTTTCCCCAATTAACAAAAATAACAACATACATTTCAAATGTTTTATAAAAATTGTATAGACTTTTATCAATTTAAAGGACTCTATGCCTTTGTATAAATTAGTTTTATGAAAAGACGTCATCTATCCTTCATGAATATCAATTTTATTATGCCAGAAAGTAGATAGTGCTGAATCAGCTTTTGGGTAATTTGGTCCTTATCCTAGCCCAGCACAAATAAGCCATCTACTTGAAATAAGTCAAATCCTAGGCTCAGATTTTAAACTTTATTAAATGAGGAAGTTCTTTGTGATGATCTTTGATCTTTGTGTTGTAGTCCAGTTGTAAAAGAAGGGAATCAAGGGGAACAAGAAAAACATTAAGGGACACAAAATGGAAAAGTTACCTATTGATGATAATGTGTATGATAATACCTTTTTTGGGGGGAGAAGTTTTTTGAGTTTTTTTTTTTTTTTCTTTTTTTGCTATAGGGCATGTGTGCTCGCCAGAAAGAGAAAGACAGAGAGAAAGAAAGCAAGAAATCACCTCCCCACACCAGCAGGGATGGCTATGCCGCAATCCTTTCTCTTCCATTCTTTTTTTGGGATCTTGGGCACACATGCACACATGCCTGGCGTAAGTTTAAGCCACTGGGTCTGGAACTCGAACTGTAGTCTACTACATGGGAGTCCAGCAACATAGCCATTACGCTAACTGCTAGTCCCTGTATGATAATATCTTTAGATTAATATACAGTGTGAATTTTCCATGCTTGTAAAGTTCATTTTGCATACTGGAATGATATACAGTGATTGAATGTATAAAAATACATATACATATTAAAAATTATTTATCTACAATAATCAAAATATTTGTTTTTTAAAAATTTGTCAAAAATTCACACATTTCAATGAAACTAATAAGAAAATTTAAATAGTTTACATAGCACTTAGGTATTGTGCAAAGGAAGCTGGATCTCACGTGACTGATAAAGTTTGGAGTTCCACCCTTGGGAGCTTGAAAAACACTGGTGAATGTTCACAGCCAGGATCCTAAGGGGTTGGAGGAAATGGGATTGAAATTCAACCAGACTTCATTATTGGGAGGTGTGCTCTCTCTCTCTTTAGCTCCTTTTGGAAAAACAAAAACAAAAACAACAACAAACCTCGCTAATTTTTTTAAAAAAGAAATATTAAATAATAAGAGTCCTTTTTTAAAAATGATAGTTCAGGGACCAGCAATTAGCGTAATGTCTATGTTGCAGGACTCCCATGTAGTCAATCGCGGTTCGAGTCCCAGACCCGGTGGCTTAAAACTCGCGCCGGGTGCGTGTGCATGCATGCCCAAGATCCTGAGAGGAGAATGGAGGAGAAGGGATTGCCATGTGGCCATCTCCCCTAAGGGGGGGGGTGATTTCTCGCCTTCTGTCTCTCTGTCTCTGTCTGTCTGTCTGGTGAGCACACG